GAGTTGTGTTATAGTAGGTTAGGCCACCGCCTAACCATATGAGCACCCATTCAAATTCTGATCCAGATCCCTGCTAGTGCCTCTGTGGAAAGCAGCACAAGATGGCCTAAGTGCCCGGGCCCCTGCCACCCACATGGGTGACCCAGATGGAGTTCCAGGCTCCTAGCTTTTGGCTTGGCCTAGGTCTGCTCTTGTTGTAGCCATCTGGGGAGTGAACCAGCAGATGGAAAATCTTGTCTCTCCCTATCTCTCTGTAACTTTGCCTTTCAAACAAATAAATCTTTAAAACAAAAAACTATGATCAGGTAGAATAACTGAATGAACAAGGAAAAAAGAAAATAAAGGATTTACTTATAATGAATAAATAAGTAAGACAGACCAACTGCACGAAGGATGGGAGGTGTCTGTGGGTGGTATTGCAGCAACAGTAGCATGGGAAGACAGGGCTCAGCCTCCACTCACTGTCCTTGAGAGCTCACCCAACTGCTGTGCTAACCCATTTCCTGACCAGCCAACTTCCAGGTCTGAAAAGATACTCAGTTCTCTATCCAGACACAGGGGACAACAGAGGGCTGACTTACACATAGAAAGAATGCCCCAGCCATTAGCAACTGCCAATAGCAGTTGCATATTCTTAATTAATTTAAAGTCAGTTAAAATCTTGACGTCAAGTTTAGAAGTTGAAAAACAGTAGGGAAAGTTTCCATAGACTCTACACCCAGCTCTCTCCCTCTGTTAACATCTTGCCTAACTACAGACTATTCATTAAAACTAAGATACTAACTTTGGTGTAACACAGACATGATTTGGATTTCTAGAGTTGTTCCAATGTCATCATTCTTCTGTTCTAGAACCCAATCCAGGACCCCACATTGCATTCAGTTGTTATATCTCCATGGTCTTTTTCAACCTGTGACATTCTTCAGTCTTTCCTTGTTTTGTGACCTTTACACTTTCCAAGAATATTCTGTAGAATGTTAGCTATATTTTTAGGGCTGTCCTCAATATGGATGTGTCTGTTTCCTCATGATGAGACTGAGAATGAACTTGTCTCTGTGGATGTGTATACTTCTCAGGGTGTACACTGGGTATATGATGTCAACGTTTTACTCCTTATGTTAATTAACCCTGACCATTTGGCAAAAGTAATATCTGTTAGAATTCTCTGTGGAAACTTAACAGTTTCCCTTTGTAATTATTAAATATTTTTAGACTACACAATATTTTGCATCTGTTTAAGCCAATGTCCACTTATTTCAGCATCTATCAGTGGGTCTTCCTGCAGCACTTATCACTAGAGTTAGAACTCTAACTGTTAGAACAGTGATTATCTACTGCCCTCATGTCTTCTAGATGTAATTAATTGGAATTCTTTTATAAAGAATTGTCACTTCTCTATTTACTCCGTTATTTCAGTATGAACACATGGATATTTATTCTATTCTTTGGGTTGTGAACTAATACTACAGTTATTTTCTTGCTCAAGTTGCTCCAAATTTGGTCACTGAAAGTTCTTCCAGGCTGGCTTATGCCCCCTTTGGAAATGCTTAATTTTGCTTTTTCTTTTTAAAAGTACTTCTCAACTTCCTGCCATCACAAGATATGTCAGGCTATTTTTATGTCTTCCTTGCCCCAGCCCTGGAATCAACCAGTTCTACAAGGAGTCTTGACTTAATTTATTGATACTGGGAAGCTGAGACCAGGGTACTAGGTGTGCTCATTGCTACTGGAATATCATTGTTTTAGTTTCTTGTAGTGACTAGAGCTTGGAAATACACATACATGTACTAACTAATATACCCACACACACATCTGTTCTTTTATATCTATCTACCCATGCATCCATGCATCCATATTAATATCACTAATTCCAAGCTAACACCAGAGGTTTCATTCTAGCCTTCTCCTTTCCTGATTTAAAACTTCTTTCTCTGGGGCTGGTGTTAAGCCCTGGCGTGAGGTGCTGGCATCCCATATGGGCACTGGTTCTGGTCCCAGCTGCTCCTCTTCCAATCCAGCTCTCTGCTGTGGCCTGGGAAAGCAGAAGATGGCCCAAGTCCTTGGGCCTCTGCACCCATGTGGGAGACCCACAGGAGGCTCTTGGCTCCTGGCTTCGGATTGGTGCAGCTCTGGCCATTGCGGCCAAGGGGGGAGTGAACCATCGGATGGAAGGCCTCTCTCTTTCTCTCTCTCTCTCTCCGCCTCTCCTCTCTCTGTGTAACTCTTTCAAATAAATAAATAAATCTTTAAAAAAAAATTCTTTCTCTGATGTGAGAAACCTCACTCTCATCATCTACAATATATTTTACTTGTTTAATCTTAGTATACAAGTAAAGTAGTGACAGAATTCCTGACACATCACCTTGAGAGAAACAAATTTTAACAAACTAGAGTGCTTTGTTTGTATATACTTCTTTTTCTCTTTAACCTACTGTATACAATTAAAACAGTTTACCAAGGTCAGCTCCAATTCTTCCCCATTCCTTGCAGCACAGTTATAGGATTCATTTGCAGCACATTGGTCAGGGCACATTTCACCTCTCTGCCCCCTGCTCCCTATCCCTCATGACTGCCACATCCTGGTTGACTTTTTTTCTTTTTAATTACATGCAGGGGACAGGCTATGTGGTACAGTGGGCTAAATCACTACTTGGGACGTCCATGCCCTATATCAAAGTGCTTGGGATGGACTCCCACCTCTGCTTCACATCCAGCTTCCTGTTAATACACACCCTAAGAGACAGCAGATAATTCAAGTGCTGGTTCCCTGACACCCATGTGGGAGACCTGGATGGAGTTCCTGGCTCTTGGCTTTGGTTTAGCCTAGCTCTGCTCTTGTTGTGGGCATTTGGGGAATGAACCAGCAGACAGATGATCCATCTCTCTCTCTGCATTTTAAATAAATAACCTTTAAAAATTTACATGCAATAAAATGTATTTTTGTGCTATATAATTTTATGGATTTTGATTAAATGCATAGAATTATGTGTTGACCACAACAGTTTCATACTATTTCCACCCTCCAAATCTTCACATGGCTACAGCAATGTTAATTCTGCTTTCTCAGAATCAACCAGGAGGTGGCAGGGTTTCTCTCTGAAAGGCAGCTTTCACCAGGCAACAGAGTTTTCCTGCTCCGAAGGCAAATGGACTTAAGGATTAACAATCCCCACTCCTCACAGCTTATGTGAAGTCTTCCGGTCAGTCAGAGGAGCTATGAGGTGCATAGGGAAGTTTTTCTTCCCTACAATAGATTAAGTTTGGTTGGAAGGCTCAGAATTTCACACGGCAATTCATCAAACAGCATTTCAGAAGGCAACCCATAATTGTGCTTTGATAAAGTATTCACAGTGGAAACAACTAAGGGAGATGAGAAAAGTGGAAGCCAAATCCAAATCAGGGTAAAGATGACCACAGAATCTCTTCAGGACAGTACTTGTTTGGTGCTGGTAGCTGGGAAAGATGTCTGTAAGAGGAAACTGACCGTGGGGAAAGGAAAGCATTTCCAGGTAGAACAAGGAACATGAGCAGAGGCAGGGCAATGTGAGGTACACTGTTCTCAGCAAAAGATGAGCTTAGAAAGACAGAAAGGGGACAAACTTGCTAACATTTCAAATGCCTTGCTTTGGCATTTGTGTAACAGCCAGTAAACACAGGGCATTCCAACATGCAAATAGCTATGCCATATGGTAGATCTGTGAAGTGGTAGACCTTTTTTCTGTGTCTAAACTAAATGGATGATTTTCACCCACTGACAAGACTTTAAATACCACAGCTCCACAAACTCTATTTGCAAGCAGGACTGTCCACCTCAGTTCCTATCCTATATATCAAATTTCATTGGTGGATATCTCTGAATGTTCTTCTAATGTACCTCACACTTAGCACTGCCAAGGCCAACATTTTGCCACATCCTTCCTGACATTTATTTTTCTGGTACAGTCATTACTTTGAAGATTTATTTATTATTTGAAAGGCAGTTTCAGAGAGAGAAAAAGGAGGGAGGGAGGGAGACAGAGTTAAGATCTTTCACCTGCTGGTTCACTCCCCAAATGGCTGCAACAGCTGGGGCTGGGCTGAGCCGAAGCCAGGAGCTTCACCTGGGTCTCGCACATGGGTGCAAGTGCCATCTTCTGCTGTCTTGCCAGGTGCATTAGTAGGGAGCTGGATCAGAAGTGGAGTAGCTGGGACTTGAACTGGCATCCATAAGGAGGCTTAACCCACTCTGACAACACTGGCCTTGGGTCATTACTCTTAATTCAAATCCTCAACTTCAACTTTGGTGCTGCCCCACATTTGGTATGTTACCAACTCCTACAAGTAGACTTCTTCTACAACATCTCCCCATTCTTTTCTCTCCCCTCCTGTAGATCCTCATACCTTCCTTCTGGACTCTTCTATACAAACAAAAAAACTTGTCACGTGGCTTTTCCATTTTCCCTACCCCAACCCATCCTATAAAGCAGACTTTCATATTCATACTACTAGACTATTGGTTTGTTCATATCATTTTAGACTATGGCTATTAGAAAGCATGCAAATTCCAAACTTCTCACCAATCTGGACACAGAGTGAGGTGCATGCCCAGCCTTGGAGCATGCTGTGGTTCTAGCATACAAGGCGACAGCACATTCAGAGGTCCTCCTGCCTCATGCATTTTCAGCCAGAATTCCTGCTTCTTGTCATCACCCCCTTGAAAGAACTAGTGGAGTATATTAATTCCAGTTAATCCCTGACTGTTAACTGGGGTCTTGCCTCATGGGGCCTGTGCATTCATTCTTACAGAATCCTTAACATCACCCCTGTCCTCCCCACCTAGTCTGGAAGGTTCCTACTTGCAGGAACTGTGTCATAATTATTTTTGAGTTATGAGTATACAGAATAAGACCTGGCATATAGTGCAGACTCGGAAAACAAGTATCTCCAAAGCATAATGGGTGGAGCTAAAGGTGAAGTCAGGGCAAACAGTGGACAGTGAGAGAGCCATGAGTAAGACTCACCCTTACGGTTCATCCCCATTTGGAGGCATTTGAGCAGGCGGCAGTATTGGCACCTATTCCTCTGCTTCCGAGACATGACACAGTTCTTGTCACGACTGCATCGATACACCCGTTTGTTGCAAATGCTCCGCTTAAAAAACCCTTTGCAGCCTTCACAGGAGATGATTCCATAGTGCAATCCTGTAGCGCGGTCCCCACAAATGAGACAGGTTCGTTGTTCAGCCCGATCATCTGAAACAGAAACTGAATGTGTTCAAGTTAGACATAGTGGAAACAATGGCTTCATACCTGTAATTTCTAAAACAGGCAACCCTGCTCTGGGTAGATCAAGAACACTTCTGTCTCCAGGCTAACTGGCACACAGGAAGCATCTTTGGAATCTTTGTCTGAGGATTAAACTCCTCCACCTGCTTTTACCTGGCCACCTCTCCTCCCAGGCCAGCTAGGTAATGGAAGTCAACAGGGCACCTTCCCCAAGGAGGTTCACATCTCCCTTAGGATGTACCCAAGTAAAGAGATAGATAGGTCTGGGCCTCATTACTGGCAAGGCCTTAAAGCCCACCAGATTATTATCAGGCCCTTCTGTAGGTATCCATTGGCATCTCAGTCAGAAAACTTTTTCATGGCTTAGACAGCACCTTTCTTAGGTCCTCCAATAATGACTCTGTCCTGTCTAGTCCACTTGGGGCCTCATACCTTTGTAAACACAGTCTCTACTCTAATTTCAAGGCTCTACTCCTGACCTGTGTGTACTGATCGTCTGCTCCCCTGTTTAATGTTGTATGATTGTTCAGAATTTTCTCTACAGACAAACCCCTCTACCCGCAAAAGATGAGTGGCCTTTCTCCCAGTCTTGGTTGGGATCAGCTTCCAGCCACATCCATCAAACAGTCTTCTTGTACAAGAGCCCAGAGATCCTCCCACATTTCCTTTTCTCTCATTACTTGGTTAATGCCACTCTTAGGATCATTGGCTGCTATTCCCACCCTGTCTTTTATACTACCATGTCTGTTTAAGTGTTTATAGGAAGTGATACTGGAGCAAACCAAAGCCTTTACCAACCAGGCAGTTAACCAAATGCTGCTAGAAGGATATACTCGGCTCCCCACCTGGGAGACAGCAGCATGAGACATCGCCCCATGCCAGCAGAGAGTACCTCGTCGCCTCATGTCAGCAGGAAGTAGTTCTAAAGACAGATCATCGTTCCTCTACCCCTCCCTGGACTTCTGGGGCTAATGTAATCCCATACAACTCTTGCTTTATAAAAAACAAAAGGGGGGAATGTTAGTAAAATGGTGCAGTCTATGGTGTGATCTATGCCCCCGACACCATCCTAGGCTCTAGCCCCTGCCGCCATTGCTGGAAGCCAGGTGACCACATAGTTCAACCACCGGTGTCAGCCCCACCTCCATCCTAATGGGATTTGCTGCTCCTACGTCCCTGCCTGCCTCAGCAAAGGTTTAACAGGACCCATTCCTGAACACGTCTGTCTGTCTGTCTGTCTCTCTCTTATGCTCTCTTCTTTCTGTTTTTCCTTCTTCGCCCCTTCCCTCTACTCTGTTGGGTTTCCCCCACCAATAAACCCTTTCCCTTAAAAAGAAAAAAAAAAAAGAATAGACCCCTATAGTTACTATAAACACAGCATTTTTATAAACACACACACAAACGCCTCTCCCTGGGTTTCATCATCAGTGGGACCAGTAGCCAAATCCGAAACCTAGGAATATCTTTGACTCTTCCCTCTGCCTTACCTTTCTCATCCACACTCCATTAATTTTACCCTGCAGGGAAATGTTAAGGGCTAATGACAATATTTGTAAGTGCCTAGCACACTTTATATATTCAATAAATGATACCTGTAATTTTTAACAAGTGAAGAAATATTAACTACACACCCAGTAAACCAGCCAGTCAGTCATTTAACAGATATTACCAAAATAACTATTCCAGTCCATGATACGGCAGTATATAAAAGTCCCTGGTGAGGGGTCAGTGCAGAGGGTTAAAGCCCCAGCCTACAGCACCAGCATCCCATATCCGTGCCGGTTCAAGTCCTGGCTGGTCCACTTCTGATCAAGCTGTTAATGTGCCTGGAAAAGCAGTAGAAGATGGCCCAAGTGCTTGGGCCCCTGCACACATGTGGGAGACCCGGAAGAAGCTCCTGGCTCCTGGTTTCAGATGGGCCCAGCCCTGGTTGTTGTTCACTCCCATATGGGGAGTAAACCAGCAGATGGAAAACCTCTCTCTCTCTGCCTCTTTCTCTCTTTTCTTTTTTTCAAGATTTATTTTATTTATTTGAAAGAGTTACAAAGAGAGATAGAGACAGAGAGAGGTCTTCCATCCGCTGGTTCACTCCCCAGATGGCCGCAACGGCCGGAGCTGCGCCAATCCAAAGCCAGCCATAGCATATCCCAGGCCATAGCAAGAGAGCTGGATCAGAAGAGATGCAGCCGGGACTAGAACTGGCACCTATGTGGGATGCCAGAGCTTCAGGCCAGGGCGTTAACCTGCTGCGCCACAGTGCTGGTCCCTCTCTGTAACTCTTTTAAAAAAATAAAAATAAATCTTAAAAAAAAAAAAAAATCCCTAGTGAAGCTTTCATTCTAGCAGAATATTTATTCTATGTCCAAGCCTTGTGTTAGTATATAAACAAATCAGCATGATCCCCAGGGTCCAGAAGTTCACTGAATCACAACAAATTAGTCTAGGAGGAAATTCGGCTACAACACAATTCTCCCCTTCTTCCTTCACACTGCATTTACTTAGGGCCAAGCAACTGACAGAGGCTAGGCTTGTAACAAAAAGTGTTCTGGGTGAACTGGGAAGTGAGGATCTGTCTGGAGGTGCAAGAAACCTCCTGGGAAGATTTGACACAGGTCAGGAGGAAATCGAAGATTTGAGCCTCATTCCTGAGTAAGAGGCAAAGCACAGTGATGAAGAACATCTGTATACCACGATTTAGAGAATCTTTAGCATTAGAAAGATTCTAATTTGAACTTCAGCTCTGACACCAGCTGGGTGAACCTGGGCAAACTAAGTTACTTCATCTCTGAGTCTAATATCGCTCAGCTGTCACATTGGGACTATGATGGTCCCTATATCTCAGAGATAAAGTATTCATCACAGTGCTCAGACTACAACAGATATTTAATATTAGCTATTATTATATTATATATATTTTATTTTTAATAGGTCCACACTTTAATGTGAAAAGAAAATATTTAGGGGCCAGTGCTGGTACGTAGTGGGTAAAGCCACCACCTGCAGTGCCAGTACCCCATATGGATGCCAGTTTGAGTCCTGGCTGCTCCACTTCTGATCCAGCTCTCTGCTATGGCCTGGGAAAGCAGCAGAAGATGGTCCAAGTGCTTGGGCCCCTGTACCCCCATGGGAGACCCAGAAGAAGCTCCTGGCTCCTAGCTTTGGATAGGCACAGCTCCAGCCATTGCAGCCAATTGGGGAGTGAACCAGCAGATTGAAGACCCCCCCCCCACCTCTCCTCTCTCTCTCTCTCTGTAACTCTGACTTTCAAATAACTAAATAAAATCTTTAAAAACTATTTGAAGGCAATGTTAAAGAAGGGGCATGATGGTGTACAGCAGGGATGCAGAGAAGAAAGAAGGCCCTTATTAGATGCCAACTCCTTTAAAAATTTATTTATTTATTTGAAAGGCAGAGGGAGGGTGAGAGGACGAGAGAGACAAAGATTTTCCACCTACTGGTTTACTCCCCAAATGGCCCACTTGGGCTGGGCAAGGCCAAACCCAAGAGTCAGGAATCCCATCCTGGGCTCCCACATGGATGACAGGGACCCTAGCACTTTGGCCACCTTCTTTTGCCTTCTCGGGCACATTAGCAGGAAGCTTGGATGTGAAGCAGAGTCACCAGGACTCCAAGTGGTACTCTGGTACAGATGCTGAAGCGATAAGCACAGGCTCAACCTGCTGGTCAGAACACTGGCCCCGTATGTCAACTTCTGATATAAGGCTTTAGATTGCCATTGGCAGTAAACTGAATACCCAGGTCCTAATCCCTGGAACCTATAAACACTACATTATAAAGGAAATGCATATGTGACTAAATTAAGAATCTTAAATTGGGGAGATTATTCTGTATTGTATTAATGGGCCCTAAATGCAATCACAAGTGTCTTTACAAAACAGAAGCAGGGGTCCCTGTTGTGGTATAGCAAGTAAAGCTGCAGCTTGTGATGCAAGCATCCTATATCAGCATCAGTTCAAGTCCCAGCTGCTTCACTTCTGATCCAGCTGCCTGCTAATGACCTGGGAAAGCAAAGAAAGATGGCCCAAATGTTTGGACCCCTGCACCCACATGGGAGACCAGGAAGAAGGTCCTGGCTCCTGGCTTCAGATTTGCCTAACTCCAGCCAGCCATCTGGGGAGTGAACCAGCAGATAGAAGACCCCTCTCTCTGTGTCTCTCCCTTTCTCTCTAACTCCGCCTTTCAAGTAAATAAATACATACATCTTAAATAAAAAAAAAAAAAGAGGCAGAGGGAGATTTGATAAACATAGAAGACACAGATATATGCAGAGAAGAATGTAATGTGAAGATAGAGGCAGGAACTGGCCACAAGAAGGTAATGCTAGCAGCTATCAGAAGCTGGCAGAGGCGAGGACAGAGCTTCTGCAGAGAGCGACTGCCAACACCTGCACTTCAGACCACTGACACTGACTCTGACTTCCGGCTTCCAGAGCAACTTCTGTTTGTTAAGGCACTGAGTTAGTGGTAATCTGTTACACTAGCACAAGAAACGGATAACCCTTTTTTTTTTTCCAGGCGGGGAAACAGACATATTAACACTTGGCCAAAGTTACACAGTAAATACAGGAATACAGAGAAAAGCAGACATATGAGACTAACAAGCAGGGGAAGAGAGAATGACACACACGGAAAAGGAACTGGTTAGGTTCTTGAGGACTCTACAGTTCTAGTTACAGACTTTCTAAAGCTTAGATGCACTTCCTAACAGAGCAAATAGCAAATTGGACAAACTGTGACAAATTCACATTACCACATTCTTGTATTATTGTCCTTTTTTTTTTCTTTCTTTATTTAACTTAGATGAAACCCTACTTGGGCTGGAAAGGGAGAAAAAGGAAGGATATTCTATTGAAATTGCCCTGGTTAAGTATGCCTTTTATTTTCCTTTTGAAAACATAGGAAGCTCAAGTTAAACATTAGAACAAAGTTATAGCAACAAATTAAAAACTAAATCAGATA